TTAATTAAACATATACAACAGTACACCTACTGTGTGCAATGTGCTACATTATGGCGGTGTTTACAACTGTGACTAAGGGTTGTGAAATCAATTTAAATTAGTATTAAAAGAAATGAAATAGGACAAACAAAAAAAAGGAGATATCAGAGTGCATCGGATGTAATAAGAATATGCATAATGTAACGAATGCTCTATTTCAGTTATAAATATACCTACACACATGGGTATACTAGGTGATAATATGAATATCTATCTTGGTGAGGATCATAATTGAAAGTTTGAAAACACTTGCATTAGGATCTTTGGGTCATATAAAGCTGTGTAAGATACAATTGCCATCCTCAAGAACCTTCTAACGGTTATTGAAGTATGGCAGCTACATAGCTAAGGAAAAACAAAACCCAGGGACATTCAAAGAGAGGTAGCATCTCTGTTTCAGAGGTTAGGGAAACTGGCTGAGATGAGGCTTGGAAGATGAGTTGAGCTTTGATAGGCAGAGGAGGAGAAAGGGGCTCTGGGTAGTGACATGTGAGCTGTCTTCAGGGAACACGGAGTGATTTAGGCTACAGCCCAGGATACTCACGTAGAAGGACAGAAGTTAAGGATAGGAAGGCAGCTTAAACCAAACTGAGGAACCCAGACCACTGAGGTTGTAGTTAATTTGATAATGGCAGGAGAGCAGCAGGTAAGATACATGGAGCTCATCTTTAGGAAGTTTAAGTTAGCACAGGCTTACAGGATGGAAAACTGGGTAACTTCAGTCAGCTCATGAGGGTGGCTGGAAGAATTGTGACTGGCCCAGGTGAATGGTTCTCAACGGCCTGAAGGTGGGGTTAGGATTGGGAATACACATAGATATCAAAATGATGAGGAATAAAATAGGTTTTGAAAGAGCTTGATTATTGTACTTATTATTTTCTTTCTTTCTTTCTTTTTTTTTTAAAGATTTTTATTGGGGAATTGGGGGATGGGAACCGCGCTGGGGAATTGGGGGAAGGGGAGCAGACAAGTTGCTGTCGTTTTGTCCTTCAGTCTAGTTGTGGAGGACATTGCTTCACTGGCCCAAGTTGGCACCATCATTGCGCTCTTCCCGGGCAAGGCAGATCAATTGTCAGCTTCTGGACGGCCGCTCACTGCGGCTGCCGGCTACATACGGTAGCCCATGGCAGCACACTGCAGCAGGGGCTGCAGCCTACGCCCTTGCCAGCGACTCAGGGCAGCCCAGCTCCAGGTCGAGCTGTTGTTCACCATCTTAGCTGTAGAGGGCACAGCGTCACTGGCCCTAATGTGGGATCCAAACTGGCGGCCCTGCTGCTCAGAGCTTGCGCTCCTAAGCCAACTCTTAACCAATGAGCCACTCGGCTGGCCCTGCACCCCATTTTACAAGAACCCTAATCGCCAAGTTCCTTTCTAGTTCTAACCTCTTTTGGATGACTTTATTTTATGAATGAGGAAGCTAAGGCTAAAAGAGGTGACACGGTTAGATGGCTCAGCTGGAACTAAACCCCGAGCCTTCTAAATTCCGGGATAGTGTTCATTCCATCACACCACATATCTGTGATGGTTTCCATTTAATAAATGTAACAGTTTAGGCGAGGAGAGATCTAGCTGGAAAAGCTCACTAGTTGGCTCCAGATATTCACTTCCTGTTGGGCTGCTTTCTGTTAGATACTGCTATTCTGATAGGCATTGCAGGAAACACGAATTTGTAAAACAGGCAGGCCTTCCACCATAGCCCCTTACTGGGGTAAAAATTATTGTGACCACACCACAGTCCAAATCATGACCATAGACAACTATGGGAAGTAAGAAGATAAAATGCCAAAGCCATGTATAGCAGTACATTCTAAGACCTCTTATCTAACAACCCATAGTCATATATACACATACAAGCTTTTAAAATTAGGGTCTGTTTCTAATTTCCTATTATCTATAATGTCTTGGCCTTTCCTCATTCATTATTAATTCATTTATCTATTTCCTTGTGTCTTTCCCAAGTGCACATTTCCCATAAACTTTGAGGACAGTGAATGAAAATGAAAGAGCATTTTTCCTCAGTAATATTTTCATAGTTATAACCTCTGAGAACAATTTCTTGAGCAATGTTTTGGGAGTTGTATTCCGGAACGTGTTATCTTTATGGTCTTCCCCCTAGTAGGACGGATAAACGATCTTGCCTTGAGAGTTGCTCTGAATTTTCTGGTTTCAGTATAAAAGATAAATATGTCACTTACAGAAGCTACAGGAGTAGACCAAGCAGGCCTGAAGTTTAGGCCTGCCAGAGGATGGCATGTCTGAGAGTGATCACGGGAAAAAGACGGATTCTCACAGGACACACTGAGGAATGGGAGTCAGTTGTGACTAGTTACTTGTGTCTGGTGAGTCTTGTGAGAGTTTGGGAGGGAAGGACAGTGGCAGAATTAATAAACCTTTCCTGAGAAAGCAAAGGAGAGCTTCTCAGGTGCTGAATGGCAACGTCACCCTCTTTACCCACAAAGTG